AAAATTGGCAAAAATTGCTTCAATTACAGCATGATCTATTTTTTTGGAAGTTTACCTAATTTAACAGCACTTTATTTTTAATACTTTTTAACAGCCTGAACCTTAAGAAGGGTTTATTGTTTTTGTGCAAAAATAAGTAACAGTCATTTATTTATGATCAGAACGACGAACTTAGTTGCTTTAGCCGAGTACGTCTGTCCGCCTGGCTGTCGGCGTGTCTGTCTGTCCGCTTATCCTTTCCTTTCGATATCTCCCTGCATTTTAAAAATATATACAAAATAGGAAGAGCTACGTACACATCTGGAACAGTTCATTTTGCAGAAAGCCTTTCATTTCCACTAAAAAAAAATCAAATTCTTGAGCTGTGCTATTTCCATAAATTTGGCTGTCGCCAAAAACATTTAAGTTGATCAGGAATGCATTTCCCATAGTGGGCCAAGGAAAGAAGAAGCACACCGCCTGCTTGCTTGTGTGTGTGTTGGTGCGTGCCTGAAGTGAGCTAGAATGTTGGCAGGCGGCACGACGCTGCACATAAGACATATTCAAGTCGAGCACTCCCGGCCATACCTGGTTCTCCTGTGCGGCCTTACTTGATTTTAGTTAAATTTTTTTCAAAGCACTTAACAATATGCAGCAAGAACACCTTTTGAAACTGAGCAATAGCTAGAACGTCAGCAACAAATTCAATTTGTTTGCACATGCATATACAAAACACACAGCACAAGCAAACACACTCAATACAAAGAACTTTAAAATAGTTGGCAACTCGTGATAATAAACCGGTCTGGTGTTTATAAAATGCAATTTTCTTGCCAGAAAAACACTCATAGCGAGAGAGACAGAGTGAGAAGTGAGAGAGAGAGAGAGAGAGACAACTCTTTTGCACGTGGTTTGCTTTTACATATTTAGAACTGCTTTAAAAATAATCCCAAAAACAATCTGCCAGATGCAACGAGCTCCTTTCAATATATTCAGCTGCAAGGGGGAAAAAAAACGATGAAACCGCCTCGAAATGATACAACTTTCAAGCGGCCATATTAAAAATTCCTTGACAAAGTTTACTCTTTACTTTTATCCTTATTGCGGGTGTGTTTCTGCAAACGGCAAAGTTTTCTCTCATTTTGTCATTTTTTATTATCTCTGCTTCCAGCTGCTTTGTGTTTTCAACATTTTCCGTGGTCATTGGTTGTGAGGGCGAAATACTCTTTATTATATTTATTTTTATTTTTGAAATGTGATTAGAATTATTGTGTATAACTGTAAGAGTCTGTGGAAGTAACTTCGACAGATAGCTTGGGCCAACATGGCGTATGCGGAATGTGTCATTATTTTACCTTTTGTTTGTTTGCCTCCGGCTGAGCATGTTTATCAGACCTATGCTCTGCTTACACACATCACGAACAATGCGATTTGAGCTAAGCAAACATATTTGAATGTTTTATTTTGCTTATATCTTGTGGCTATTCTTATGGATTTATCGGATTGCAGTTCCATTTGCTTATTATGTGAACATGTATGGCACATTACAATTTTATAATGAATTTCGCATAAAGCTCATTTTGCTTCATATCAGCCAATTGTCAAAAGCTGACTTAATAACCATTCGGAGCATCGAAGATTAAATACCCTGGCTGACATAAAGCATATGCCGGGCATAATTTTAAGCCCTCAACCCATTGACACATTGCCATTGAAAATTTATAAAAGCTAGAAACTTGAAATTTTGAACGTACCTCATCCCAGTGCCAGCGCAGTACGAGTTTATTTCCGGTAATCGTTAAGTTGCCCCGTTTCAAAGCAGTCGATAATAAACGATTTGAAATCCTGCATTTGACCTTATCCCCTAGGTTTAAAGAGCTACAGTCACCAAATTCTTCATTAGAATAGTATATATAGATCAAGTATCTTTTACCGCACCTTCCTCTCTCAACATATTTCAAAAAACAAAAACTCATTTCGTTCAAGTACTCCATTTTCAAGTCATTGTTATTATGTTCACCCTATGATAAATTGGTTCGACCCAATCGCCTTTAATTTGAACTTCCACAAAATGTCAAATTTTTATATAGTTTCAGCATGATAGCTTCCCAACAGAGGAAGTTATTTGCATAGGCGGTCATGAGTAGATTGAGCTCTGCATAGATATGACGCACTCCATTGTGTATATTGTATAAAAGTTCTGAATGTCTGTTCGATATATATTTGAAAAGGGTATTTAAAATGCGGCACCTCGAACAGAACTGTTTCTGTTTTCATCTGAAATTTCGGCTATATTTGACTGCTGGCTCAGGAGTCGCGTTTATCTCGGCCATTTTTTATATTTATTTCTCAGACATTTCGCATTTTTCCAATGCATCATAAACATTTACATACCCGTGCTTAAGTGCAGTGAGGCATGCAACAGACGGCCCTCTGCACTGCGTCCCGATCTGCACGCTTGACTGGCGTTCGGGGGTCGACTACTATAAAATAAAATGTAATCATAAATTAATTCGAATAAAATTAGAAATTTTATGCGTATTGTGCGCGATTTGGGTTGGGAATGCGTCAGGCCGCAGCAGCTTTATGCCTCGCAGGACCTTTTGACAGACAGATAAGTAGTTGGGTTTTATTGCTTTTAGTTTTCTATTGAGCTTCATCCAAGCTGAAGACATGGGTAAACAGCATTCACAGGCTATTCTTAAATGGTGGGAAAGATAGAGAGGGAGGGGGGGGGGGGGGTGCTTTGTGAAACACTTCGCTGGTGTGCCAATTGAAGAAACCCAACGGCCCTAAAAGATTGTTCAAGCGTTCAAATACAAATCTAGATACTTCGTTTTTGTAATGTTACCTTTATTTTAGCATGCTTTACCATAACAATCCATTTAAACGACGGCTGCCAATTTCATTTACTGCAAATGTCCCTTCACGCAGCATTCTCTGTTGTCCTTTAGTGCACCTTTCGACGAGCTCGACCACATTCCATGGCCAAGTCATTGGGGACCGCCACAGAACAATGGCCAGTTGACACATTTGTGTTAGTTGCGGCGGTCGGCGGCAACCCTCATTAGCCGCTGTGGCCACTCAGCCAAACGTCGGGCAGCTTTTTGGCAGCCCAAATAAGTAAGAGCCAGTATTGACTAGGAAATGCCCTGAAATTAGCGTCAGGCTGACCCTATAAACGGTGTAGCTTCATTTTCAGCTTTATAACTTCGGTGCTTAATCTGCACATACTGTACAAGAACACACATACGAAATTTAGGGTATATAGCTCGAACTATGCCTTAAAACAACCAATCGGTATTTAAAGATATTATGAACATGGCAAATATCGAAAACAAATTAGAATATTTATTTGAAATCTCATCGTCTACTTTTTATAGTTAGCGAAATCGAAGCGATTTCATAGTGGACTGCCAGATGGAGAGCTCATCGTCCTGCTCAAGAACATGTACAAGGTTGTCTTCTGTCTGTTACATATATAAGCACAAACACAATATATCCATTTTATATGAGTTTAGGGTATAAAAAACACTTGCACTCAAAATAGCCAAACAATTTCCTTTTGAAAATCAGCACAAACAGCATTAATATTTATTGCCGACGTTTAGTTCTTTATACGCTTGAGACCATAGACTATATATATATTTGGAGCCAAGCTTAGGGAATACTCTCTGTGTACAAAACTGTGGTACATTGACTCACTTTGTAGATTTTCAAATAACATTGGGTCTTATTGCAGTATTCGCTCGCAAAACAGAAAACGTTTCGGCTAAAAATCAGCTGTAATAAATTATAACATTATTAAAATGAAAATTTATTAAATATAATAAACACTGGGGACACTGAGACTGCCGATGATAGAGCCGGGAAGTTTTTAAATTAGCCAGTTACATTTCCTACATATACTGGGTATATGTACAGGGTATCAGAAGCCTGCGTATGCTGGCATGTGAAACCGAAGGCGTTCAACTGTGAACAGCTTTTGATAAATTAATATTACAAACAATGATGTGGCATGGCTGCGTGGGCTTAAAGGCTTTAAGCACGCCGTAGGCAAGTCCGTTTACCACACGTGTAGCTCCTCGCAATGGTGAGTAATGAGCTCTCAAGCGTCGAACCGTGTATTCTACGTCTCCTGTCGGTGCATTGCACGGAACTCCATTTGGGCCGTTAAGCTGTCTGACCTTTTCGCATACGTCTTTTTATATTTTCTTTATTTTTATTATTTTTTTTTTATTTGGTGTTTTGTTGGTGGGGCAAGCAACAAACGCTCAGCGGTGCCGTTAGGCATGTTAATATTGTTCCCTGCATTATTGATGGTCTGCCCTTAAGGCAAGTTGAGGCGTTAAAGGTGTATGTGTGTGGGACATTGGGGGCAATGTAAAACAATATGAATGCGAGGCATTTCGAGACAAGGACCTCAGCGCAGGCTAAGTGAAAAATTGAAAAACTGACGGAGAAAGCAGGAAAGAAATATGCAAATCACTCGACACGAATTTCTGGCATTCCACACAATTTCAGGCTCGTCTAAGTTCCTATTCAAATGAATTTTTTCTTTTTTTTTAGCAAGAAAACCAACGTCATCATACAAAGGTCCGAAGTGATCCTTATATATGTATGGGCCTTTTACCTTTGAGCCATTAAATCTGTTTGAAATTCCTTAATTTGCCTGGGGAGTGGAAAAACCTTAGAGGAATTATTAGGCTTAAAAACTTGTCACACAGGAATTGTTGTGGATCTATATTGTTTCTCAGTAAATTCATTTGCTTTCGTTTTCGCCTGCCATATAAGCAATGCATTGCTTTACAAATGATATATTACTAATATTTGTTTTTGTGTAATTTCCGATGTGATGCACAAATAGCAATAGGTGTGTTTACTTTGGCATGACTAGACACATGCAACACTTAAAAATCTTTGATAAGGCCCATATTGGCATTCTCTTATCAAAGCACAACAATTCGACAGGAAAATTCATTACGTTAAGAGCATTAGAAAATATAAAAGCAGCCCCCAAGTTGAAATAAACTCAGTTCTTGAAAATGTTGTCGCATCCAGTTTGGAAGAATAACAATGGTAAGCTAGAAATTTTGCAGCTTTAGCCAGGCAACGCCTTATAATATTTATCATTGGATAGTACTTCTTTTATTGCTCGTACTCGGCTTTGGGTGTCCACTGTTAGCGTTGAACATCGATCTAGACAAGCGCAATGAGTGCGTTGAGGGCGCTGTCCAGTCTCATCCAGATGACTGTGCCCGCTATTTGCAGTGTCTAAATTCAGCAATTGTAATTCAAGCATGCCCCAACGGCAGCTACTTTGATGCAACTTACGAAGTGTGCGTCATCGATGTGAATGGGGTCTGTGCCTCCGCATCTGGAAAATGTTCGGAAGACCAGATAGAAGTGAATCCCGGGAACAGTTGCGGTTACTTGCGATGCATAAATGGCAGTCTCAAGGAAGAGCAATGTAATATTGGTAGCTACTTCAACGCCAGTCTGAGCATCTGCGAGATCGATGAAAATGGAATATGTTCCACCTTTCCTGGGAATTGTTCGGAAGGTGAGCTGCAGAAGGATCCTGAAGATTGTGCCGGCTACCTGAAGTGCATTAATGGAAGTCTCTTTGAGGAAAAGTGTTCCAATGGCAGCTTTTTCAATATCACTCTTAAGATCTGTCAAATCGATGAGAATGGTGTCTGTACTCCAGCTCCTGAAAAATGTTTGGAAGATGAGATTAAGGAGATTCCCGGAAATAGTTGCGGTTACTTACGATGCATTAACGGGCGCCTTGAGGAGGAGAAGTGCGATATTGGTAGCTACTTCAATTCCAGCCTCCTGATATGTGAGATCGATGAGAATGGAATATGTACCAACCTTCCCGGGAATTGTTCGGAAGGAGAATTGCAGGAAGATCCTGGGAATTGTGCCGGTTACCTGAAGTGCATTAATGGAAGCCTTATCGAGGAAAAGTGTGTCAATGGTAGCTTCTTTAATTCCACTCTTAAGATCTGTGCGATCGATGAGAACGGCATATGTTCTACAAATCCAATAAAATGCTTAGAGGGTGAACTAGAGGAGGATCCTAAGGATTGTGCCGGTTACCTGAAGTGCATTAATGAAAGCCTTATCGAGGAAAAGTGTGTCAATGGTAGCTTCTTTAATTCCACACTTAAGATCTGTACGATCGATGATAATGGAGTGTGTATTTCTACTCATGAAAAATGCTTGGAAGATGAGATTAAGGAGATTCCCGGAAATAGTTGCGGTTACTTAAAATGCATTAACGGCAGCCTTGAGGAGGAGAAGTGCGATATTGGTAGCTACTTCAATTCCAGCCTCCTGATTTGTGAGATCGATGAGAACGGAATATGTTCTTCCCTTCCTGTATGCGCGGAAGGTCAACTGGAAGAGGATCCTGAGGATTGTTCTGGTTACTTGGAATGTGTTAATGGAAGCTACATCGAAAAGAAGTGTGCCAGTGGTAGCTTTTTCAATGCTACTCTTCAGACCTGTGAGATTGACGAAAATGGAATCTGTTTTCCTATTCCAGCAAAATGTTCAGAGGGTGAGCTTCAGGTAGATCCCGAGAATAATTGTGGATATCTAAAGTGCCTCAATGGAGTCCTGGTAGAAATGATATGTGCTAATGGTAGCTATTATAATTCTACTTTAAAAACCTGTCTTATCGATGAGAATGGAATCTGTTTGTCGGCTGGTAACAAATGTGCAAATCACGAGGTTAGACACGATCCCGAGGACTGCTCTGGCTATTTGCAGTGTATCAACGGCGAATTGGTTAAGAAACTCTGCTCATATGGAAGCTATTTTCACACAACTCTTCAGAGCTGTGTCGTGGACGATGAAGGTATTTGCACTCCATTGTCAGATCAATGTGAGGAAGGTGAACGTGAGACAGACCCTGACGACTGTGCCGCCTATATGGAGTGCATCGCTGGCGATTTCATAGCACAGAAATGTGTAAATGGCACTTACTTTGATGTAGATATAAAAGCCTGTATTTTGGATGAGAAATGTGTTTGTATAACGCAGGCAAACTAAGGGCAATACCAGTTTTCCATGATTAAATAAATAATATGTTAAATTTCTTTAGTTCCTTCACACATACATTTATATTAATTAAGTTACAACGAAACAAATTATGGCCTAGAGAACGATAAGCCAAATATATTCCCTGGGTATTGTTAATAGAGACTTTTTTCATATGCTCCATAAGGCTGGATGCAAAGTTTTTGCTGACATAGCTTTTCGAACAGCTGCGATTATTAACTGAGCTATTCTGGTGGTGGTTAATGGAAAACAAGAATTATAACATGTGTTTCTAATTGAATGAGTAGCTTGCATATAAATCCAATTCCCGGCTAGATAGCTAGATGGCAGCAGTTACTTAATGTAAGCAGCGTTAACTAGTAGCAGTTTAATTCGGCTTGGTATTAAATCAGCTGTGTCCTAATTAGGAATAAGATGATTAGAGATTGGATCTTTTCGGTAATTGGCAGTTACTTAAAGCCAATGGAAAGGAAGAACATGGCTCGCTGTTATACATTACTTATGCACATATTTCAATGTCTTTGGGCATCAGATTGAATCTGGTCTTAATTAAGAGAATTCCCGCAGTGCAGCCTCTAACCAATTGCTAGCTTTAAGCTTGCAGTAAAATACATCAAAGTACTTTCGATTACAGCGAGGATTTCGTAATTAATGCCGGGCACAAACATAGATAACAACAGGTAAGAGTGCTCTACTCGAGAGTGGCTGACTAGAAAGTACCCTGTACTCGACACATACAGTACCCATTTGACACACACTTAGGCTTTCCTCGGCTTCCCTTTGGAATAAACCAGGTCATACAAGTGGGATTTCAGTGAATGTATCTGCCAAATATCCAGACAGTATCTCTAAGAATTATCTTCTTACATAGATTTAACCTAAATGTTCTTCAATTACGTATGCTCAACGAAAAATTCACGAATAAATTGTTGTGTGTCTAAGCCTGTTTATCCCAGAACTGTGCTCGATATCAACGGAAATCAGTTAAATGGTGGCAGCTATCGATAAATTCAAATAATTAAATAGACATAACTATATGTCCGTATACGGACATGGGTATATACAGGCTAAATAGACTGATGGTCAGGAATATACATTTATATTTGTTGAGCACCAAGCTTATTCCTCCTGCCTGTGAGCGGCGTAGATATTTCTTATACCCTTGCCTTGAATTGTAAGAAACTTGAGCTGTGGGCGTGGCAAGTCGGCTGCTGCTAAGCGCACATCAAAGGCTATCCATCTGCAATTAAGTTCGGTTCGATTTCATTTTCACTTTATTGAACAACTTGGAAGCCTTCTTGGCAGCCCACTTTTGGGCTATTAGTCGTTGCGCTTGTTGATTTGCGCATTGACGAATATTAAATTGAGGATATAAATGTTCGTCTTGCTACCGTTGTCTTTGTCATCCTCTGGCGCGGACGTTGTTATAATTTCTTCAGGGGTTGTGGCACTGGAGCTGTTTGTAGTATCATCGGTTGGCGTAGTTGTCACATCATTTCCATCTGTAACCGTAGTGGGCTGCGGGGTTGTACTCGCATCCTGACCATTTTCGCTGGGCTCACCCAATCCATAAGGTGATTCCTTGTTAACAGGCACATAAAAGTCTCCAACGGCAATATATTCATTCTCAATTGCACCCATGCGCACCGTGCTGTAGGTGCTCCCACAATCATTTTTGTGGGCTTCCTGATATGAGGGACACTTGACGGTGGGAAAATTGTTCATTCGCAGCGACTCCACATAGTAGGAGACGGCGCGTGTGTGGGCGCAGCTGCCGGTTATATCGAGGCCACAGCCAGGCTGTGATTTGCCACCATTCGGATAGAAAGTAGCACGGCCAATAGGCTTACTGAAGCCCATAGTGCCGCCATTTGTCTGAATGGTTTCCACATAGATGGCGTCAGTGCTGGACAGGCGCTTTTCCGGTTTGTTGTAGCTGAACAGCGGTGAGGCGGGGTCGAGACCCACCACCTTTTGCACAGTGCCGCTGGACACATGCTTGGCTGTATAGCCGGCGACATGTGCACCCAGGCTGAAGCCCACCACTTCGAGCGTCTCCAGAGACATGCTGTACTCCGTCACCAGAAAGTCCACTAGGCTGGCAATTTTCTTGCCCGTTGCCGACACGGCTGCCACCGAAGAGGCATATTCCAGCGAACGGCCACGCGACCAATCCACAGCTATCATATTGTAGTCGCCGGACAGGAACCAAGCATCTCGTACGCCGCTGTTGACACCATCCTTGTAATTGGAGTTCCAGCCGTGTATGGTAAATCTGAAAATGTAATCCAAGCATGAGCAAACGGGCGACTGTGCCACGGACATGCACTACCTGGTGGGATTTGCGGCATTAAAGTTGGAGTCATCAATGGAGCTGCGTGTGGCCTTGATGAGCTGTCCTTCCTTGGGATTACGCAGCGTATACAAATAGAAGCTAACCGAGTTCAGGGAAATACGCTCAGCGATCTCCATGTCATTTAGCGCTTCATAAGCGGCGAGTTGACCTTGCGCCTCGTCTGTGGTCAGCCACTTGAAATCGTCGCCCACCTGTGGCACATACCAGCCATTCTCGCCGTGGATGCGTCCCGTTTGCTCCTCAATGGGCAGCGCACTGACTGAAATCATGATGACTCAAATGAACTTTTATGGAAGCGCAAAGTACTTACCAGTCAGCACGCAAATTGTCAGGAACAAGCACAATGTCATGGTTGCTTTTATATTGATACACTTAATGCCGCTAACGCCAGTATTTATAGGAATTTGCCAAATTGGATCGGCTACCATAAATTAAATCCAAGTGCAAATCTCTCTAGACGATAGATTGGCAAACGCCGATTAGATTGCTTGTAATATCCATTGAGCACTTTCGAATACTCAATGCACAGGGCGGAATTATACTCTAAAATAAAAACCAAAACTTAAGAGTTTAAAATGTAGCAGTTAAATAGTATGGGAGAAGAAATAATTGTGCACAATTTGATGCATCTTATTTTTCTAGTGGATGCATTTTTAATAAATCACTTGTTCGCCAAAGTGGAAACTCAACTTCTAATCCTAATTGAAGTGAGAAAAATAGAGAGGAGAGAGAGAGAGGATTAACATAGAGAGCGGGAAAGGGAGAGAGAACGAGTAGACCGTCGACTTCCACTTCTAGGATGAGAGTCCCAACCTTCGAATTTCCAGGATATTGTATATTGTATATTGTATAAAAGTAATAATAATAACAATAATATTAGTGTTAATAATATTTCAACAAATATTGATAATAATATTAATAAGAATAACAAGAATAATGCATTGAATATTGATCAAATTTTTTGCTGTGTACTTATTCATATTGAGTATAAATCATACGTTTAACACTCAATGGCCAGAAATGACTCAAATTTTTATTTGAGTGAAAGCTTTGCGAAAGCTTGTATAAGTTAAAGCAGCAGTAAGGCTCTGCTCAACATATGAATACCCTGTAGTAGAGAAATGTTTAGTGGTGGTTAATGGGTTGAATAAATGCACTGACAGAATCTTCGACACTGTAGAGTATTATTAATGTCATGCAATTATCGTGATTGTCCTATGTATAGAACAAGTAAACTTAATCTATATCTGCTTCATGGGTAGACAAAGTATACTTGTAATATATATTGAAATAAAAATAGACCTGCGTTAATTTAACGCATTTCTGATGGATGTCACAATGAAACTCAATTCAATAAACTTTAGTGTTTGCTATACAATTTTAATGTTTAATAAACATATTCAGTCTAGTTGCCATAGCCATAAGGATACTGGCTGTTGACGGGCACATAGTAGTCACCGGACACCATATAGGCGTTGGTAACGGCGCCCATTTTCACAGAGCTGTAGGTGCTGCCGCAGTTCTTGGAGACGGCAGCCTCGTAGTCACCGCAGCGCATGGTGGGGAAGTTGTCCTGGTTGACGGCCTCAGCGTAGTAGATCACAGACCGGCTGTGGGCGCAGGAACCGGTCAAATCAACACCGCAGCCAGGCTGGGACTTGCCACCGTTGGGGTAGAAGGCGCCCTTGCCAATGGGTTTGAGGAAGCCCAAGGTGCCTCCGTTGGTCTGAATGGACTCCACATAGTAGGCATCGGTGGAGCTGAGACGCTTGTTGGGCGAGTCGTAGCTATAGAGGGGCAGGGCGGGGTCCAAACCAATGATGGTGTGCACCTGACCGTTCTTTACGTTCTTGCCGGCGAAACCAGACACATGAGCGCCCAGGCTGTGGCCAATGATCATCGTGTTGTCCAGGGACAGACCATTGTTGGTGCGCAGGAAGTTGATCAGGTCGGCAACCTGCTCACCGACTCCGGGCACGGCCAAGACCGAGGAGGCATAATCCACAGAGCGGGCACGACCCCAGTCAACGGTGATCATGTTCATGTCGCCGTGCGAGAACCAAGCATCGCGGATACCATAGTTGACATAGTCATCGGCGCTGGAGGTCCAGCCATGGATGGTGAAGCGAGTGGGATTATTGGGATTGAAGTTCGAGGCGGAGATGCTTGACTTGGTGGCCTTGATTTCCTGGGGTGAGTGCATGTTGGATTTTGTGTACAGATAGAAGGTAACGGGATTCAACAAGCTGCGCTCACGCTCCGCATGGGCGGCCAGATAGGCCTCAGCCATATCCTTGTCTACCCACTCGAAGGTGCCATCAGCCTGGGGCACATACCAACCGTTCTCACCATTGATCTTATGCTCCACGGCGCTGGCTGTGAATAAATTAAAGAGATTGGATTGGCACTTATGGATTACTACGCACATCCTTCCAGAAATTTACCCGCCAACACGCAGAATGCGAGAGCCAAAAACAGTTTCATGACGCTAAACAAAAGTCCACCTAAACTGATGTTCCGACCTGTCGCTGGCTGGGGCTTTATATGGACGCCGTTTATCAAATCACAGGCAGGCTCTGCAGAGCCACTTGAGATTTGGCCAATTGATTGATAAGTGGCCCACCCCTCCTTCTATTGATAGGTATGATAACGAGCAGCTTGGACGCGTAATCGGAACGCAAATATTAAGCAAGTTTAAAATCGAATGAACATTGACTCTTGCTATTGCCATTGTTGCCCCATACCCAGGCTAAATGATTAATATAGGGTATGTTACATCTGTGCAGGATGCACCTACGAATACATAATGTGCATGTTCTTAATCAACAGACGAGCATGTTCTTAATCTTCCTACGCTCTCGATTACCATTCGTATATCAAGTTAATTACATTTTATTCGATATTTCATTACGTGTAATTTAAGTGGATTCAATAAGCAATTGATAATTTGATCTCCAATAGCGCTTTTGGATTCTTCCCACGATATATAATGTATCATTGAGTTTTCATAAACCGTTCCACGTCCGCCTGTGTAACGGCTACGGTTCGCTGGAGGAACCATTAAGTTGACCAGGCTGACGCGGCTCCAAAAGCTGCACCCTGATGACTTACCTACGAGGCGCATTATTTAATCGTATCCTTTCCCATCATTGTGAAACTTCATTGTGTGTATCACTGAGTTACATTAAAATAACTACACATCATTCCCTTAGTCAAGCGCTTGGTAGAAATCAGCAGGCACTCATCGATTCTAGCGCAAAAATAAAACACATAAAAAAAAGTTTTGTTTTTTATTATATACCCGAATGTGAATGCCCTCTTAGAGTCCGTTAAGCCAAATAATTGTTCGGATATGAATACATCAGTTATTCAAGAATGCCTGTTCGAAGTGAAGGGAGCCCAAGTAAGGCGCTGAGCCTTACAGTAGCTGGATAGAGGGTATCTCTTAGCCGGGCACTCTACACAGTAGAGATCATGTGTTCTGATTGTTTGGCCACTTCACCTACTGACACGTGTCTGATTGGGATGTTAGCGATAAAAATAGGCCTCAAATGGGGCTCTCACCCTCTTCCTACGCCCATGCGCTGATAGGTAAACGCAATCGTTTAACAGATAGAGAAAATTGATTTATTTCGCCAGCTAAGCAAATACGGCCAAAAGGAGCCTCATTCTTGAGGAGCACATTAAAGTCAGCCCCCAAATTGATTGGCACAGTCCTTGGTCCCAGCTGGCACAGCCCACAGCTGGGATTAAAGGTGCCAACAGTCCAATTCCAAAGAGTGCGCATCTGTGTTGGCCAGAATAGGCCGGCTTGCTATAGCTGCAGAGGCAGAATTGAAGAAGCTTAGCCGGGTCTTAGCCCACAATTATGTGCATTTTGTGGCCACGCAAAGCAAGCCACTGTCACAGATTGTCCAGCTGTATCTCGTAGAGCTTTGGCAAGTCCGCCATCCTATGTTCCATTCCAAAGCCTGCCACAGCCGTCGCTATACTCACAGAGTTTTCTGTACGAGCGTCTACCCAATCCAAAGCAATCCTGTTGAGCTCCCCCCATTCCAGCCAGGCGTTGATATTCTTGTAGTTCATGATATTCTTGTGTTTGACAAACTTGCTGCATGCTTCGCATGAAAATGTGAGCTACTAATAGTTGAACCATGCTGGTTGAGCTGTTGCCCCTTCACGGGATTACTGTTTCGCCTAATGCCATGTTCCGAGAAGGCTTAAACTCTTTTCCCATTCACTGGCCCAAGCGGGTTTTATCAGTATTCGCAATCAAAAATCTCATCGCCTGATGAATTCCAAACCAATCAGTTTACCTGTCAGCACGAGCAATGCAAGCGTAAACAACTCTCCCATTGTATTTATAGAATGTGCTAAACGCAAAAAAAAACAAACTAATCCCCATTCATGCCCCCACCGAGTGACGCGTCTCGCTAATCTCTGACGTGTGCCCGTGCACTTGATTCGCAGCGCACGGACCCCAAGTGGTCTGTCAGAGTATCGTATCTCGATGGCGATACGGCTAGGAGTACACACTTTCAAAATTCAATTGTTCAGTTGACACTTTATTCAGATATACAGATAGGAAAACCTATTCAATTTTGCCAAAAGGCGCATTGCTGTTCACGGGCACGTAGAAGCTACCGCTGACCATGTAGGAATTGTAATCGGCACCCATGCGAACGCTGCTGTAGGTGCTGCCGCACTCCTTAGCCACTGCATCCTCGTAGTCGCCACACTTGACTGAGCCGAAGTTGTCCTCAGTGACGGCCTCAGCATAGTAGGTCACAGAACGGCCATGGGAGCAAGAGCCGGTGGCGTCGACACCGCAGCCAGGCTGCTTCTTGCCGCCGTTGGGATAGAAGGCACCCTTGCCGATGGGCTTGAGGAAACCCAGCTTTCCGCCATTGGTCTGAATGGACTCTACATAATGAGCGTCGTCGGAGGATAGACGCTTGTTTGGCTTGTCATAGCTGAATAGGGGCAGGGCAGGATCCAGACCAATAATGGTATGAACACGACCATCACCGACGGTCTTGCCAGAATATCCAGCAACATGGGCGCCCAGGCTGTGACCAATGACCATCAGGCTGTCCAGGGACATGCCGTGACTATCGTGCAGGTACTTGATCATTTCACCCACCTTGGCGCCAGCACCGGGCACAGCAATCACCGAGGATGCATAGTCAATAGAGCGGGCACGCGCCCAATCCACAACAATGATGTTGTAATCACCTCGCGACAGCCAAGCCCTGGTTATTTCGGTATTCATCGAGTCTGAGTGGCTCTGAGTCCAGCCATGAATGACAAAACGCGTGGGGTGATCCTTGTTGAAGTGCGAATCATGAATAGACGATTCCGAGGCTTTGATTTCCTTGCCGTCGGTGGGATTTGATTTGGTGTATAGGTAGAAGGAGACGGCATTTGTGCTAATACGGCCCTCCATCATTTCACCATTGGCTAAGAGCTCCTCGGCCACATCCAAATCCATCCACTCACTGCTTCCGTCTATTTTCGGTACATACCAGCCATTCTCGCCATGAATGCGCTCCTGAATGGGCAGGGCACTGACTGAAAGGCCAACTACGTAAGGAATTCCATTCAGTTATTAGGATAAAGTTGGGACTTACCAGCGGACAACACTGCTGCTAGAACAAGGAATACTTTCATTCTGTGATCTCAACTAGTTTTGATATTTGGTTGGCAGTTCGCTCCCTTTTATAGCTACTCCCCAAACACGGTTAAAGCTAATCACTTTCAGATTTTGATAACACTTTAAACTTGTCATCGCTCAATCAGATAATTCCTATGCTTCTGTAGGAAATCCCACTTTGGCAGTTCCATTTGCCAAGTACGCTGATAAGGTCGCTACCTGAGTGCATCTTTAAATTAGTTCGTTGACACGATAGATAGATGATGACAAACTATCAATGGGCTTTATCATGCTTAACTTTATTACAAGTCTTATCCGATCCATAGATCCGATGTGAAGTGATTACATGTTGTGTTTTCTATCGTACCACTAACACGCATATATCAGTACGACAGAAATTAAAACAAGTAAGAGGTTCTAGTCGGGAGCTCCCGACTAGGGGATACCCTGAACCCTCTTCTTCCAACATCAAATGCATATATATATATTCTATTTTAGAAGCTTTATGTCAAGTTTGGTGACTCAAGCTGTTATTATTTACCAAAATTGCCCAAAAAACAGGATATCGATAGCGATTGCTTGGAAACGGAGTAAGTTTTCGATTATCGAAAACAAACTCGATCCTCGCAGGCACCAGGAGCACTTACATCTAAAATTTCAAGTCCTTAGCTCTTAAAGGTTCTGAGATCCTTGCGTTCATACATACGGACAGACGGATAGACAGACAGACGGACATGGCTATTCCGACTCGGCTCTTGATACTGATCCAGAATATGTATACTTTATTGGGTCGGAGATGTTTCCTTCTATGTGTTGCACATTTAGAGACAAAATTCAAATACCCTCTGCATATTGGTCAACTTATTAACTTGAAGCATTTATTAACACGTTACACATGACTAAAATTGAGTTAGTTACGCTGATTGTTATGAAGAATCTTTAGGAATTATACCATAACTAAAACTATTATATTCGAAGTGTTTCACAAAAATACACTCTTCTATAAATCAGTTGGTAGTTTGTTGTAGCCAAACGGTGCTTTCTGTTTCACAGGAACGTAGTAGGTGCCTTCAGCCCTATTCGCGTTGGTAACGGCCCCCATGCGAACTTCTTTGTAGGGGCTGCTGCAATCCCTACCAATAGCTGCTATGAAGTTACTGCATTTGATGGCTGCAAAGTTGTTGTGGGTGACAGCTTCAGCATAGTAGATGACAGCGCGAACATGGGAGCAGAAGCCGAGTAAACTGCAGTTGGGCTGTCGGATGCCGCCGTTGGGATAGAAGGCGCCCTTGCCAATGGGCTTAAGAAAACCAAAAATGCCGCCATTAGTTTGAATGGTCTCCACGTAGAAGGCGTCATCGGCAGACAGACGACGGTTGGGCGTGTAATAGCTAAAGAGGGGCAGAGCAGGATCCAATCCGATAATGGTATGGATACGACCACTACCAACGGTCTTGCCAGCATAACCAGCAACATGGGCGCCCAGGCTGTGACCAATGACTATTAGGCTCTTCAGGGACATGCCGTGACTATCGTGAAGGTACTCGATCATTTTACCCACCCTGGCGCCAACGCCGGGCACAGCCAGCACAGCGGCGAGGTAGATAGTGCGAGCACCCGCCCAGTCTACAACAATGAGATTGTAATCCCCACGTGACAGCCAAGCGTTGGTAATTATACGGCTCAACGAGTCCAAATAGCTCTTCGTCCAGCCGTGAATAACAAAACGCGTCGGATGATCTTGGTTGAAGTGAGAAGCATAAATAGATGCTTTCGAGGCGCTGATTTTCTTGCCGTTGGTTGGATTTGAATTGGTGTAAAGATAGAAGGAGACATCAGCATCGAAAACGAATCTTTTTACGTTGATCAACAGCTTCTTTGCCTTGTGCAGATCCATCCACTTACTGGTGCCGTCTATTTTCGGTACATACCAGCCGTTCTCGCCATGAATGCGCTCCTTAGTGGACAGGACAGTGTCTGAAAGGGCTGATTCATAAGGAAATTCATTATCTTATAAAACTAGAAGTGTGACTTACCAGCGACTAGCAGAGCAGTTAGTACAAGGAATACTTTCATTTTGGCTCGTAAACCAGGCTTTCGAATTGGTTGGCAACTTCACCCTTTATGTGGATATAAGTGTTGGGTTTTATAATAGCAACCGTTGCAAATGTATAACTAATTTGATTCAACAGCTTTGACTCTACGCTTGGCTAAGTTAATCTACAATTTTATTATTTGCGCTGATTAAGGCATATGTTGTCTTAACTTCCTATGCAACAAGTTTGATCTGATAGTATATAATGATCTAGTTGATTTTTCCGAAGGGAAAATTGACGTTTACGGGCACATAGAAATGACCCACAACCATGGTGGGCAATGATGTCGGCACCAAGGCAATCGCTGATGAAGACGCTGCCTCAATTCTTATCGCCTGGTAGTCATCGCACCAGATGGCTCAAAAGTGATCCTGGGGAATGCCCTCGGCGTAGTAGCTCAAAGACCGATTGTGGGACCAGGCCCTAGTGGCATCCAATCCACAGCTGGGCTGATTCTGGCCGCTGTATTTAACTTTATTACAAGTTTAAAGAGCCACGATATTCAAAACCATGCACGTATCTCAAAGTCTAGCCAACTATTTGACCCAATCCCTAGATACGATGTAAAGTGGTTTCGTGTTGTGTTTTCTATCGCACCACAAACACGCATCTATCAGTTCGACAAAAATTGAAAAAATATTTAATCAATGTCAAATTAATCAAGTAAGAGAATCTAGTCGGGAGTTCCCGACTAGGGCAGATCCTGAGCACGTTTCTTCCAACTTAAGCACATACAAAATTAAAAAAAAGTTTGTTCTCTCTTATCGGACTCGATCTCAAAACTTCCATTCAAATTCGTTTCCGCTTCACACTCCACAGCTATACCTAGAATTCAGTGGTAGCATGAAATATCTCCGTGTGAAATAATGTAGTTTTTAGTTGGGCAGAGCTATGTCGCCTTCATATCGTCATATCTCCGGGAAGTATTTGTTTCAAGTGTCTCTTTCTTACAGGTTCTGAGATCCTTGCGTTAATACGTACAGACAACCGGCCACTGATGCTGATCAATAATAAGTATATATACTATATGGTGTTGGGGATGCTTCTTTCTGCCATGACTAAATGTAAGTTAGTTACGCTGATTGTTATGAAGAAACATTATGAATTATACCATAACTAAAACTATTATATTCGAAGTGTTTCACAAAAATACACTCTTCTATAAATCAGTTGGTAGTTTGTTGTAGCCAAACGGTGCTTTCTGTTTCACAGGAACGTAGTAGGTGCCTTCAGCCCTATTCGCGTTGGTAACGGCCCCCATGCGAACGTGCTTGTGGGTGCTGCTGCAATCCCTTTCGATAACTGATATGTAGTCGCTGCATTTGATGGCTGCAAAGCCCTTATGGGTAATGGCTTCGATATAGTACGTGACAGAGCGTTTGTGGGAGCAGTTGTTGTACCCGATGGAACCGCACCTCGGCTGTCGGATGCCGCCGTTGGGATAGAAAGCACTCTTGCCGATGGGCTTCAGGAAACCAAAAACGCCGCCATTAGTGTGAATGGTCTCCACGTAGAAGGCGTCATCAGCCGTTCTCGCCATTAATGCGCTCCTTAATGGAAAGGGCAGTGCCTGCAGTGGCTGATACATAAGAAAATGCATTTGCTTGTAAAAATAAAAGTGTAACTAACCAGCGACTAGCAGAGCAGTTAGTACAAGCAATACTTTCATTTTGGCTCGTAAACAAGGCTTTCGAATTGGTTGGCAACTTCACCCCTTATGTAGATATAAGTGTTGGGTTTCATAATAGCAACCGTTGCAAATGTATAACTAATTTGATTCAATACCTTTGACTCTACGCTTGGCTAAGTTAATCTACAATTTTATTATTTGCGCTGATTAAGGCATATGTTGTTTTAACATCCTATACAACCAGTTTGAGCTGCCATAGTCAATATGCTAGCTTCTTAGTGTGCATTTATACACTAAACAAATATTCACATTACGCTGTCATATTGCATTGTGCGGGAAATGCATTCTCCAATAACGTCGATGCTTATGATTTAAAGTTGTACTTCCTTGTATGAGTTTCACTGATAATATTTTTATTAATAATAATCTTTATTAGTGAGAGCATACTTTGATACCGGGCTGATTTAAAGTCTCCGTGGCAAACGACAGATCCATATATTGTGTGATTATAAGTTATTTCTAATCGTTTGCTTAAATGACAGCTTTACTTCTAGGTTTATAAGTATATACCTATATCTAATTATACACCTAGAAATAAAACTGTCACCTTAGCAAACGATTAGAAATCGCTTTATACCCAGACAATAAATGGATCACATTCTTAAAGGGGTTTTCTAATTCAAGACAAGGCATTAAGCTTTATGAATAGAGTCGTAAACGCAACTATATTAGATAGTCGAGTTATTTCCCATAACCAAACTTGATTTCATATTTTTTTGTTAAAAATTCTTTAATTTTTTAATTGCGTTACAATTGCTCAGTTGATATTGCCGAAGGGAGCCTTGCTGTTCACTGGCACGTAGAAGTCACCCTCGACCATGTACGCATTAGTGTCGGCACCAAGGCGAACGCTGCTGTAGGTGCTGCCACAATCCTTCTTGACGGCTGCCTCGTAGTCACCGCACTTGATAGTACCAAAGTTATCCTGGGTGACGGCCTCGGCGTAATAGGTCACAGAGCGACTGTGGGAGCAGGAGCCAGTGGCATCCAATCCACAGCCGGGCTGTTTCTGGCCGCCATTAGGATAGAAGGCTCCCTTGCCAATGGGCTTGAGGAAACCGAGCTTGCCGCCGTTGGTCTGAATGGACTCCACATAATAGGCGTCATCGGAGGACAGGCGCTTGTTGGGCTTATTATAACTAAACAAAGGCAAGGCAGGATCTAGACCAATAATGGTGTGAATTCTACCTTCGCCAACTGTCTGGCCAGCGTAACCAGCAACTTGGGCACCCAAGCTGTGACCAATTACGTACAGGCTGTCCAGAGACATATCGTGGTTCTCCTGCAGATACTTGATCATGTTTCCCACCTTGGCACCAGCGCCGGGCACAGCCAGCACAGAGGAAGCGTAATCCACGGAACGAGCACGTGACCAGTCGACAATGATGACATTGAAGTCACCGCGAGACAACCATGCCTTCGTAATTTCTGTGTTCATCGAGTCCTTATAGCTTTGTGTCCAGCCATGAATAACAATGCGTGTGGGATGATCCTTGTTGAAATGCGAATCATCTATGGATGATGCCTTGGCCTTTATTTCTTGACCCTTAGTAGGGTTGGACTGGGTGTACAGATAGAAGGAGACTGCATTGGTGCTGATGCGACCCTCGATATCCTCGCCCTTTGACAACAGATCTTCCGCATCGTCCAAATCAATCCACTCGAAGGTGCCGTCTTCTTTGGGTATGTACCAGCCATTCTCACCGTTGACGCGATCATCGACGGGTAGGGCGCTCACTGAAAGGCAACAGAGTTCTTCAGAAACTGCAATTACTTACTGGACTAAAAGGGCCAACTACCTGCAGACAATAGCGCTACTAGCCCAACTATAAGAACTGCCTTCATCTTGGAAACAGAAGTAAAACTGTCATAGAGAATGCGGTCCCTGCCTATTTATAGTCCCAGTTCTAAATAAAATTGAACTCATCATCTACGCCGTTTTCAAAGTACTTCAGATTGATTAAATTTAGTCATATAATGTTGATTGTGTTGATTAAAAATCACACTTCCCTCCGTGAATTTGACTGATAATAAATCTTTATCAATGGAAGCATTCATTGATGTTGGGCTGATTTAAGTACTCTGTGGCAGGCGGCAGATCCGTATATTGTCTGGGAATAAAGTGATTTCTGATCGTTTGCTAAAATTACAGTTTCACTTCTAGGCATATAAGCTTAAGCGAGGGATTTATATTTCAAGGTATGGCATTCAAGTTTATGATTAAGGTCGTAAACGCAACTAGATTAGTAAGTCGCGTTATTAGATTAGGTATTAGGCACCTATTTCCCATAACAGAACACGAGTTGATTGTTTTTGTAATAAATTCTTTAATTGCGTCATAGTTATTTAGTGAATGTTGCCGAAGGGAGCCTTGCTGTTGACGGGCACATAGAAGTCACCCTCGACCATGTAGGCATTGGTGTCGGCGCCCATGCGAACGCTGCTGTAGGTGCTGCCGCAATCCTTATTGACAGCCGCCTCGTAGTCACCACACTTGATGGTTCCAAAGTTGTCCTCGGTAACGGCCTCGGCGTAGTAGGTAACAGAGCGTCCGTGGGAGCAGGCACCAGTCACATCCAGGGTGCAACCAGGCTGGCTCTTACCACCGTTGGGGTAGAAAGCGCCCTTGCCGATGGGCTTGAGGAATCCCAAGGTGCCGCCATTGGTCTGAATGGACTCCACATAAAAGGCATCGTCGGAGTTCAGACGCTTGTTGGGCTTGTTGTAGTTGAACAGAGGCAGGGCGGGGTCCAGACCGATGATGGTGTGCACTTGGCCATTTGTGTTCTTGCCAGCATAGCCGGCCACGTGAGCGCCGAGACTGTGTCCGATGACGTAAAGGTCGCCGAGAGACATGCCATGGTCAGAGTGTAGGTAGTTGATCATGTTGGCGACCTTCTTGCCCACCGTACCCACAGCCAAAACGGAAGAAGCGTATTCGACTGAGCGGGCACGAGCCCAGTCCACAACAATAATGTTGAAATCACCATGGCTCAGCCAGGCATCACGAATCTCCTTGTTCATGCCAGATGAGCGGCTCTGAGTCCAGCCGTGGATGATGAATCTGTGTTAAAGATTAATAAAATGGGGCTTTATCTATGCTTATATTTTATATATTTATAATTCTGTTTGTCTTGACAGCAAGATAGCTGACTGGGTTGGCAGGTGTTCAAGGGTTGTAAGTGCAAAGATTCATATCATGTTGGATTGGGCTTGGAATTCTTAAAGCTCTGTTTACTAAACCAAATGACATAATTTTGAAACGTCTACCGCACGGACAAAAGATGGGCAAAAATTAATAATATCCAATAGAACAAGATCCAACAATTTCGAAAAATCAACAGGTGTAAAAATATGTGGTCCAAGTTCGGGATAATCGGCATTTTTTTTAATTTAATATTAAACTAACCTGGTTGGGTGCTGGGGGTTGAAGTGTGATGCATCGATAGACTTCTTGGTGGCTGTGATCTTGGTGCCCTTGGTTGGGTTCGATTTGGTGAACAAATAGAACTTGACAGGTGTGGTGGAAAGTCCACGATCCTCCATCATCTCCTGGCGATCCAGCCAATCCTCAGCTTCATCCATATCAACCCACTCAAAGGTGCCATCCAGTTTTGGCACATACCAGCCGTTCTCGCCATTCACACGGTCGGACTCCTCGATAGCATAGGCCGAAGCTTTTCAGAGTTCAAAGTAATTGCTAAGGATTCTCATCCAACAAAATGGTAACATTTACCCGCTAGCGCACAGAAAGCCAAAAGCCAAATAGTCTTCATTTTGCTGGGGGTGTCTTTCGACTGATAAGGAGTTTCGAGCAACAGTGGTCTTTTATAGGCCATATCGCATGTCCATAGCCATCTAATCAGGCACTCGATAACCAGCTTAGGCACAGAAATTAGCATCTGATAGCTATGCAATGAGTTCTCCAAGTGTTTTTAAACTATTTATCTTTTAATTGCCATTTCATGCCGCGCAATAAGACGAGTACTATTACCGGACTTTGCTGGGGTACAGTGGGTGTTAAAAATAGGCTCCGTCAAGTACCTTTCCCTGATTAGAATATATGCAAGCTGAATGTGCTTTAGATGCCTTAGCTGTGATTAAATGTTCCTAAAGGTATAAATATCACATATTTTGGAATTGACGCAATCGACAGCCAAGCCGCGCGAGCTGTGCCTTATCAGGTGGTAGCATTACATGTCCGGCCCATGCCTTAACCCTATCAAGATCGATTACATTTGGTCTCACTCCACAGTTAATGCTCGTTAATCGGCTGTAAGTGACCCTCTCAAATGGGCTTAATTGCCGGCACCCTTGAATGCCTTGAATGCCTCGATTTATCGCTTGAGTATGTGGGCGAGCTCTTGTGCCAAAACTGACAGCGGCCAGAACTTAAATATTCTATATTTTAATATACTTATTATTTGGCTAATCGCAAGTGTCAACGAGCACAGTAAACATTTGCTCGGCTGTCCCAACAAAAGCCGGCTAATAATGATTCAATGTGCTTTGACACTTCCGCCCTAACACTTTACCACCACCCCCCCGTTCAGCAGCCACTTTTTGTGTTTACATATTTGGATTGCACTTGCATTATGCCGCTAATGAGTTTTCCATGGCTGATTATCCTGTTCGTGTTAATTGGCCTCTGGTTGAGCGCATGAATTAAATGACTTGCGAAAATGCTTAAGAAATATGTGTGCCTATAAAAAATACGTGGCATACTTTTTGGCGCTACTTGGCGAGGATATGGTCACCCTAAAAATTTAAAAGCATGCAGAATAGCAGACATTCCCCATTGAGTAAAAATTATTATTTATCTGTTATTTATTATTATTATTTCTTATAATAAATGTTTAATTTTTTTCGTTCCACAATTAAAATATGGTGAATTACATTGGGATAAAATAAAAAATTTAACTTTACAATATTGAATAAGTATATTTTTGATGCAGAAGTTAGAGTTTAATTAAATGCCCAAAAGACAAAAAAGCGAATAGACGGTTGAGTTTTGACTGAACTTTACAAGCTTGAAATTGTCGTAATTTTTGGCCATGATATTAAACAGAAATTTGAAACAGCTTGGGACTCGACATATAATCATTACTTGTGCTAATATTAATGAAATAAATTGACAACAAAAAAAATTTATAATATGCAGAAACAATACAATATTGAAATGTCATGAAGCTCAAACGTTTCTTTTCATCGGCGTTGCTAGAGCTCGAAGACTTAGAATAATATATACTGGCAGTTTGGAGGCACAATTCCAATGACTCTGCGGCGAAGAGCCCTTCGGATTTGTATACTTTGTATACTTAAAGAAAATTGGCGAAATATGTGTAAAAAACATTGCAGCGGTGTGAAAAAATGAAAAATGAAGAGTGACGCCTGCAAGTGGCAACCCGCTATAAGTGAGTTGCAGACGCTTAATTAAATATTGTCGCATGGCGTTCGTTGCATTTAATTAACACATTTCGCTTGAATTTGCACCTATTGTTGCACACCATTAAAAAAAAATAACTCAATTAAAATATGAGCTCTGACCCGCGTGAGGTCCTTGACAAGGTATGCAGCTGGTCAGGCCGGAGGCACGTTCGTTTAATTATGTTAAATATTTTATGGAGTTGCCTTTGTGAGTGGTGTTTGAGGGGAGTGAGGGGTGACGCGCACAAAATTCAATGAAATTCAAATTAATCGCATTTTTAAAAGTGTCACATTTCAAACTGATTGTGAGCACGAGGAGGGGAGCATGGGGGTGTGGCATGCGTCTCGTTTAACAGCTTTTTCACAACGCTTTTTTCGCATTTGATTAACCAAATTAATATGCCATAATGGGGCGCCTATTTACATATTATATACTCACACCCGATTGAAATCGAATGCATTTAATTAATTTCATTGTCGCAGAAACGGCGCATGAAGTCAGCATAATATTTGACAAGGGTAGGCTCAACCCAAGCTAGGGTCAGCCCAGGGCCAAGAACTTGTGGAGCATTCGGCACGAGTTTGGTTTTAAATGCTTACAAACGCTCTGAGCGGACTTTGTGGACTTTGTGGCCGTCATAAAATTCAATTCAACTTTTTTTTTTTTTAAATCCAACGCATAAATCAGCATTATCAGCAAATAAAATGCGGCTCTAAGGATTGCTTGAAGCGAAAGAATTTAAGCATTTGCCGTATTCATACATGGCTAAATGCGTACGAATATCAAGAAAAAATTCTAGTAAGTGTGCTCTAGTCGGGAGTGCACGACTAGCAGATTTTCCGAACGTAGCTTCCTTCAATACACATACACACACACACACACACACACACACACACACACACACACATACAAAATACAAAAGGACGCATCGATATTGTCACAAAATGAGAAACTCTTTTTGCAATAGATGTGCACTTATATTTAATATTTAAAGTGCCTCGCTCTTTTAGTTGCCACGATTAAAGAGCATTTTCAATAAGCTCTGGACATCAAAATATTCTATGCTCAAATAATAAACGACAAACACGACTACAAATGTCTGTCTCGAGGCAAATAACAAATACATAAAGCATTAACAAGGCTAAGGCACGCACACACAAACACTGCAATTCATTTGAAGCTGTGCTAATTAACACATATGAAGGGTGACTTCCTGCTGAGCTCTTGGCGCTGTTGGTTGCCCATTTAAATATGAGTCAAATGATAAAAACTATCACAAACACTCCTAAGATACGACCACGCCCACATCCACGCATGCCACGGCATGCCACAAGTGACAATGCCTTCGCTAAGTATGCCGCCCTTACCTTTGCCTTTTGCCCTTTGACTTAGCTCTGGCAGCGGCAAGTGCGCTTCACATAGCTCATTAATTATAATTACAAGCACTCGGAAAAACGCAAC